TATATATATTTAATATGGTCACATACACAACAATGAAATATTCTAAAGAAGAATCTATTCGACGACGTAATATGCTCAAAAACAAGAAGTAATACATATAATTATGAGATAAAAATCGAATCATAATGCGCGCGTATGGCGGAGTGTCAGGACACATTACTTGAAAAAGAAAATATCGAGCAAAGATAATTGATAACACAAATAAGGCAGCAGTGGTAGTTGAATAAATCAAAAAGATGAATAGAATTGATAGCTGTTTACATCTATGTGGAATATTTTATATCTATATTAATAAAACGCGCGAGCCTAAAATTGTGATTTATCGAATCTGCAGAAAAATGATCAATTGATAATTCATTTCTATATGTTTCTCAGACATCTTTTAAAAACTATACGTAAATTTTATAGATTTTTGTAGATTATGTAAGTTTTTAATATTGATATGATCTTAAAGAAAGAGAAAATGTCGCAATCTTCGACATAACGTCCTGACAATCCGCAATGGATGACGATTACTCAAAATAACGAACGAAACCCCTCGAACAAATTCGAGTTTCATGTGCGCATCGGATTCGAAAATTAAAATTAAAATTTTAATACTTATGTCGCTGTACATAACTGCATTGATTTGTATGAGCTTTAAAGTGCATTGCAAGTTACAATAGTGTCTCTTTTCATAAAGATAAGCTTATTGATCATAATGATGTATTAAAAAAAACTTTTATTATCAATTTATAAAAAAATTTGAATTTGTTTATTAAATTAAAATTAGATGTAACTATGTAAACATTATATAAGAAATATGTATTCTATTTAACTAAATACAAAAAATATTCTATTAAATTAAATATATAATCCTTATTCTTTAAATATAAAGTATAAAGAATTATAATAATCCTGAGATAATTCTTTTCTTTAATTTTTATTAGCCAATTCTTAATTAGTTTTTTTTATTATATAAAATAAAAATTTATATTGTAATTAAAATATATTGATTAAAAAA